TAAATTAAAAAAAAAAAACCAACAGACTCCATGGTACATAACAGCAAATGAGACAGAAGCTCCTGATACTTCTCAGTTACAGGTCAACAGTTTCATGCCAAATGAAACGCATGTGTACACGTACCCATAGTGTACATACATGCACAAGTGTTCATACACATACCCTTTATGCTGCATACGTGTCCACATGTGTGTGTCTCTTTCAACAGGTTGACGAAACTTCACTCAAAATGTCTAAGGTAAGAGATGCTCCTTCATGTGTTTACAGGATAAGAACTGCTTGAGGCTGTTGCACTGCTCATTCTGAATTCCAGTATTTCCTTAATTTATAGGATTTATTCTTTTTCGTTCAGCCAACAGTCATAGAGACCAACAGAGAGAGTACTGAGTTCATTGTCCCGTTGAAGGCTTTGTGTGTTCTATTTTCAGGTCTCCATTTTCTTGTTTCTAAATGCCACCTGGCCTTCTGTAGATCACTGCTAGTAGAGCAAACCCTTGATCATTTACAATTCTCATAGTTTATCATGATAAAATTGATGGGGCTGTTAAACTTGGTCTGTGAGCTCTGAGGTGCACGGGTCACCCCAAAAAGGTTAAAGTGGTAGAACTTGGGGTTAAACTATAGAATTATTGCTGCTCTGTGCATTTTATCTTTTGAGTCACTGCTGTCAGATGTGTAGTTTTAGTTCCCCCTTTTATTTTTTATAGAACTCTCAGCTGTGTGCAGTATGGAACACACATAAACAAAAGGAAATAAAATTAGTTAGGTCTGAAACAAATGGAGTTATCATAAGGTACTAAAATTTTTTTCTAAAGTTATTTGTGTATTAGTACTTTGAAAAAAATTGTTTCCACAGGAAAAGTGATGGTTTCTACATAATGTGTTAAAGAGCATGTGCAGCTAAGTACTGTCCGTGATCACCACTCACTAACTGCTTCATCCTAGCAGCCGTCCATCATGTTTCTGAGGCTATAAATCCGCACCCTTCCACTCCTGTGAAGTAGCAGGTAGAGTTCAACCTCCAGACACATAGCCCTGGAGTTAGCCATGTAGCTTGCCGCCACAGCTGGTGAATTTGAACTGTGTTCCTTCGGGGTTGCCGTGCAGCTGTCCTGCTCCATAGGTTACCTGAGATTGACATTTAGTTCTTCATATCCCGCTTAGCATCTTAGCAATACCCATAAGAAGATAAATCTTTCATTTACTATACTATGTGCTGTTTCAGATCTTAAGAATTTAAGGGATTATGGGAAAGTCAGTTATGTGAAACCACCATTTGGAAATACTCCTGCTAGCATTTGATGGGTATTTGTCTCAAAATTGCATAGTTTTTCTTTTTTTCTTTTAAAAAAGAACAAAAACACAAACCACACTTTCCCATTTTCTGTGACTGTTTTTGAATAGTTATGCAAAGGTACCATTATTTGACCAGTTCCTCTTGGTGGTACAAATGATTAATGTGATTAGCTGTTAACTGAGAGGGAGCAGAAGCTCTCAAAAGCTGAACCCAAATCCTACGGAACTCAGAACAGCTCTGGCACCCCAGGGGCTTCTTAGAGAACAACTGGTAGAACTTCAGCTGACTCACTTTGGGCATAATCCTATCAGGAGGAACTAATCCTTAGAGGAGAGACAGCATGTTGGGCAAGGGAGAGGGTTAGTGAGAGAGAGAGAGATAGAGGGTTAGAGAGAGAGAGAGGGTTAGTGAGAGAGGAAAAAGCCGATGGTGAGGATGGTGCAGCTCAGGGCAAGGCCGCAGCTGTGACTGGTTGGTCTGCTGCCAGTCAGTGTTGACCTGATGGCGGTGAAAATCTAAACCACTCTGTGTGTGTCACAGACCCTAATGCTGCCCAGGTACAGACCCTAGCGATCTCTGTGTGTATCACAGACTTGGCCTTCTTGTTTAAATCTCACTCTGAGTGCTATCGAGTAGGACAGGTCATTGCTGACCTTCCATTGGCTTCTGAGGCTGTAAATCATAATGGGAACTTGTCCTTCTTCCTCCCTCATAGCGGCTGGTGGAGAGGTGTGGTCTCCCATGGGACTCAGCCAGCAGACTTGCTTTTATATTTTCAAAGTACCCGCTAAAACTCTTAATCTTTTTAAAACTCTTAAAACTTTTAATCTCATTTAGCAGCAGCCAGCCCAGTTTATAAATGCAGAAACTCCCGGCTATGTTGGATTTGCAAATCTTCCAAACCAAGTTCACCGAAAATCAGTGAAAAAGGGATTTGAGTTCACACTGATGGTTGTTGGTAAGAAACTAATTTGTCAATTTAATAATGTGTTAGATTTGAAAATAATTCTTGGTAAAGTGTTATGTTGGTAAGTAACATGGGTATTCAACCTTTCCAAACTGTGCCATAAAAGCTATCTCTTAAAGAGGAAAGTCTTTGTTGACAGAGTCAATAGCTTGTGTATCTGAGGAAGAATAATCGCTTGGAAATTCTTGATGAGTAGTGAAGTTCTCTCTCTTCTGCCGTTTTCTTGTTTAAGTGGTAGAAGCTTTTTCTCAGCAGTAGCCTCCTCTGGGTCTTTGCTTCCCAAATCCTGCCGTTTCCTTGTCTCTGCTTTGCTGAGCTGGCTGATCCCTGGGGACGTGTCTCCTCTGCGCACATCCCCTCCATACCACCTGGCGCCTAGAATGTGACAGGGCCTGGGGACTTCTGAAAAGGAGAGGCTCTTGAAGTGGTTTGGGAAGAGAAGCAGCATCCTTCTATCTAATAACTATAAAGATACTACCCCAAATCAGAAAACAGTATCACGCAGCCTAACGACCTAAAATTTGCTTGTTTTACCTTGGGCTTCCAAAATTAGAACTGGAGTTGGATTAAAATCTGAAACTTGTGTCCTTTTGCCTGATGGATTTGAAGGGACTGTCTCTTCTGGCTCGTTTGTATTTTCTGGCGCCCCTTATGCCTGAGGGTGTCGTATGTCTGACGGTGTAAACCAGCCCAGACTTCTCAGCACGGGGGCACTGTAGTGACTTAGGGTACATGTGCATTACGGACTCAAGCACCCTCAGCCGGGATGGAAATGTTAGATAAGGTGTGCTTCCGAGTCTATGTTCAGGTGTCATCTCCTGTGCGCCATAGGCCCTTTGCAGCTGTGTCTCCGGACATAGCTGTTGCTGCCTTGTAAAGAGTAATTGTGTTGGTTTGCTGCCATTGGATTACTGCACTCCTTGAGAGCAGAGGTTTTATATCTAATTACCTGGTCAGGACCTAGATTAGTGGCAGCCACACAGAAAGGTCTCCACAGTTAATGGAGAAGTGACTTTAGAAGGCTCTGCCCGCTGCTGATGGAAAGCCACCCTGCTGGACTAACTCAGCCACTTGGCTTCACAGCCCCTTGCCCTGGGAACATCCAGCAGGCAGTTCTGCTTTGGTCTGTGTCATGTCCCTCTCTGTGTGGCCATTGTCTTCTGATTTCAGCTCCATCTGAGGCTTATAAACCTCCTCGTTCCTGACTCCCCTTTAAGGAGAAGCATGTCATTTGAACCCACCCGCTGCTCCAGGAGCAGGAGGCTCAGTCTCCTCTCATGCGGTTTATTTCCTCTGAAAACCCACTGGGTGGTCACCCTTGAGTCGATTCTGGCTTGATGGCACATAACAACTCCTGTTAGGATTCTCTCAGAAGTAGTACTTCTGCTTTGTCTAGGGAGTGGGCACGGACGTGCGTGAGCAAGTGCATGTTGTGGCCAGTCCATGGCTGACTGTGTCATGAAGCTGGGAAGTGTGCTCAGAATTACCCTGTGCAGGGTGGTCCAGGCAAGGTTACAGAATTAGAACTTCTTGTCAAGGAGAACATCCATACTTACTACTGTTCAGAAGGAAACTAACTTTTTGAACTTTTGTATATTCTTTGAAGTGAAATTTCAAGTGTTCAGTATGTATGCCTACCTAAGTTGCACAGGGGCTCTTGACTATGGACGTGTGAATGCTGCTCCCTAATGGGCTGCCTCACACCCTCCAGCTGAGCTGGCTGGCTAATAGGGAGAAGGGGATGGGCATGTCAACTGCTGAGAGGAGAGGGAGATGTTGGAGTGGAGGAATCTTCATCATCCTGCCCCACCAGCCTGTGCTCCTCACAGCTGTCCTTCAGAGATTTCTGAAGTGGGTGACATTTAAACTGATCTCATAATGGAAAGCATTCTATTTGCCCAAAATAGGACCAACCCCTAAAGTCCAGCTCCCACCTTTATGAAGACGGGATCATGTTCCTGATCCCCTGTGGAGTAGCGACCACAGGTTCAGAGGTCTGCAGGACTGGACTTTGATCAGTCCTGAGACAGAGTGGCAGGAGGACATAAATGACATTGTGAGGTTCTGAGCTGATTCTCAGCCGGTGGGACCCTCAGGAGACCGGAGACCTAGTGGTTACCCATGCCTTGTGAATGTGGTCCTGACAGTGTTTTCATTTCCACTAGGAGAGTCAGGACTAGGAAAGTCGACACTAATCAATAGCCTGTTCCTGACTGACCTCTACCCAGAGAGGGTCATCCCTGGGGCTGCAGGTGAGAACCAACTCTGCTATCACATCCCAGATGCAGTTGTGTAGACACTCCGAGTGTTGTCTCCTCCTGCGAGCAACGTGCACAGCGTGTGCAGCCACAAAGCTGGCTTGTGACCTTCCCCTCTGGCTCACGTTCTCATCTGTAAAATGGGAAGTCTGGTGGGAGGGGCCCCAAGGGGTGCTTTATGCTGTTTACATGATACGGAGAAGGTCGCTCTTGACAGAGACACCAACATTCAGATGTTTGTGAGGTGGACAGATGGCACAGAGTCAGGGCCAGGACAGATGGGGCATGGGTATTCCCAGGGATTGTAGGAGTAACAAAGCGGGGAGAGTTAGGGTCAGGTAGGCTGTTGGCAATAGGGATGAGAACCCCTCACGAAGATTCTGTCCATTTTCACGTGAATTCTTAAGTTAGTTCCTCTTTTTATCAACCCAGAACTGACAGTTTTTTTCCTCTGAGCTTTTTCCTCCCTGACTGGGGTGGTTTTTACATAGGCCTTGTCTTGATTTCTGAAAAGCCAGGTCTGTTTATGAACACGTTTGTAACTGGCAGGTTCTCCTTTTCATGTACTCCCTTGTTCTTGAGCTGTATTCTTCACGGGTTCTGCTGCTTTCACAGAAAAGATTGAGAGGACTGTCCAAATTGAGGCCTCCACTGTGGAGATTGAAGAACGGGGTGTCAAGCTGCGACTGACGGTGGTGGACACACCTGGTTACGGGGACGCCATCAACTGCCGAGACTGGTACGTGCCCCCGGTTGGTGCCTGCCCAGAGTATCCGCCCTTACCTCGCTCCACAGGGTCTGTGCTGCTGCTGAGCGGTACTGGGATTGTGCCGAATGTATGTGGAGCAAGGATGCCTTTCAGTGCCTCCAACGGAGCCCTTTTCTGTAAGGACTTTTCACAAGGAGTGCATTGGGTTTTCCCTCTGAGGACGCTCCAGGGTACGCCGAGTCTTTCTCTGGCTGTGGCCCGTGGGCAGACAGCGCAGATGGAGCTGCTGCCTGCCCTAGGGTCACAGGCAGCCTCCCTGCTGTTGTGCAAGGGCCCCTCGTCTAGCACAGACACTGACCAGTGAACTGCTGCTTCAGATGTGCAGCGTGCATTTTCTCAGCATTCACTGAAGGGAAGAGACATTCTTGTCCTTCTACGTGACAAGTTCCCCCCGTGCCAGGCTGCTCTCCCTGTTGGCCTACACCTCAGTGAGCCCTCCTGATTGCATATTGGGCTTTAGTCCCTTTCTGCTCAGACCCTGGAAGAGGCCACAGCTCTCTCTTCATGTTGTCATCTGTCCCTTCACCCCATCCCATGTTATTCACCAGCCACAGGACTCTCAAGAGACCCAGGACTCTGTTTCCTGCCCTGTCATACAAAGGGGTGATGGGGTCCCACATCTGCTGGAATAGGGAGGAGGCTCACTTTCTGGAGGTGGGGATGCCTGCCTCCTCCTGCACACCCGCCCAGTCACTGTCTCTTTCAGCTTTAAGACCATCATCTCCTACATCGATGAGCAGTTTGAGCGCTACCTGCATGACGAGAGTGGCCTGAACCGGCGGCACATCATCGACAACAGGGTTCACTGCTGCTTCTACTTCATCTCTCCCTTTGGACACGGGTAAGTCATCCCTCCAGGGCCTTGCTTGGAACTTGATTTCATCTTTGCTGTACTGAGGTGTGCGTGTTCCCCAGACTGTTCAGAGGGAAGAATGGAGACCCTGTGTACTCATCTCTCTAAGCATGTGACTTGTGCATGATCTTTTCAGACTGAAGCCCCTGGACGTTGCCTTCATGAAGGCAATCCACAACAAGGTGAACATTGTTCCTGTCATTGCAAAGGCCGACACTCTAACGCTGAAGGAGCGAGAACGCTTGAAGAAGAGAGTGAGTCCTTGGCCTCAGCCTGCCTGCGTGGCAGTGGGTGGAGGGAAGGGCTCGTTCTGAGCTGATGGGTGTCCTTTCTAAAGGCTGTCTGATACTGGATGAACTTGCAGCTGTACCGTTTAAGTGTCAGGGTGTTGCTGCAGTTGTCCCAGACCTGCTGGAGGCTCTGTCAGGAACGTCCCGTAATGGCAGGTGGACGGTGTGAGTGCAGAGCTGTGCTGAAGTACCTGGATTTCTCTAGAAACGTGGCCTCCGTTGGCTCAGGTATTAATTCCTACCTGACTCTGAGTACAACTGCCCTGCTTCCCAGATCTTGAGTGTGAGCTGCCACTGCCTGTCAGCCCGCACGACACTTGGCCAATGTTCCTCAGCCAGCCCACCGTCAGTCAGCGCATTATGCGCCTTTCTAGTGCCTCTGTATCTACTGATTGCTGCTCAGTGCTCTCCCTGTTTGAGGTATGTGTTCACTGAGGAAGTGTAGGTGCGTGCATTTGGATAAACTTGGGCAGTGAGCACTCCTTTCCCTTCAGAGTCACCACTCGTGGCAGTAGACAGTCCCCGGCATGCACTGTGTGGTCATGTGATGAGATTGGACATTAACGTATTTCTGAACCTCCTGATCAGCACTGTGCTGTAATGACCAGCTCGCCACTGAGTTCCCCATCTGGAATTCGTGGGGGTCCCTGGGGTCCCCAAGGCTGAGGACACTGCTTCTGGGATACTGTGATTACGGATGTTCCTCATGGTCTCACCAGCTGCCGTTCAGGCCCATCCTCAGAAACATGGCCAAGTTTCCAAAAAGTGTCTGTTCCAGTTTCTATCTGGTGTCCCAGAAAAAATCCCAGCCGTGTTTCTGGCTTTTGGAAAGCGCTTCTCATCTGAGAGATGGCTATTAATGGTGTCTTTCCTGCCCGAGGCTGCTGGCCCCTTGCAGCAGGGCTGTGATTTGTGTGCTAGCGTGTTGCAGAGCCCACACTCAACTGTCGTGTTGCACTTCTGACCCGACAGCAGGAGCCACCAGTTTCCTGGGAGCCTTTGACCCTGGGAAGCTCTCTGTAAACCCACATAGCTTTTCTGTCTGTGAGGAAAAGTTCACCTTTTACTCCTACTTACGTCCCGTTCTGGGGAAGAGGATGGGTCACCACATCAGGATGTATCACTCCATCTAAGATGCTGGGCTCAACCCGCCTTGGGCTGTTGCTGTGTGACAGGGTCTGCAGTGAAAAGTTCCGCTGTGTGACAGGAAATGTGTGACGGGGTCTGCTGTGTGACGGTGTGCAGTGACAGCGTCTGCTGTATGACAGTGTCTGCCGTGAGCAGAAACTCAGAGCAGACCTCCCATTCATCTCAGTGGCTGCTCCTCCTCCTCCCTTTCATCTGGAGGGGCCTATGCTCCCTGGTGAGAGTTAGATACCTTTACCTTAACCCTGTCACCTCTGGCTTCAGGCACCGATCCACTCCATATATCCTTGCGCTCCATGCCTTGTGGATGGTGAGCTCTTCACAAGGCAGCCTTGTGTGGCCTCTGGCACATGTGCTTTACTGTCCTCACAGTGTCCTTTCTTCCTTTCTACGCTGTCTGAAGTTCACTACCTTCATAGAACACTCATCACATCCACGCTCCTGAGAACAGGCTTCCACTGTCAGGAGCAGCCTGGGGAACAGTTCCACAGGGGGCTGCTTGGACTTGGGGAGAGGACAAGGCAGGTGAGGAATTAGACACAGCTGCATGTGCCTGAATCCCATAGAGTAGAAGTCTCAGGACAGGGGTGTAGAAGAGCAGGACTGGAAGGTCCAGGCCTGGGGAGTCAGGAGTGTGAGAGCCCGCCCTGAGCCGTAGGGAGAGGTGATGTGGCCAGACCAGGAGCTCAGGACAGAAAGCCTGCTGACCGCCAGGACTTCCCGAGTCCCGGCATGGATATGCTCTGTGTCAGCCAGCCGTGTTTGATGATGCAGGGCCTGAAAGATCCCATTCAGAAGGTTTGGCCAGCGAGTGCCTCCTGAGTCAACTACCTTCTGCTGTGTTTTCTGCTCTGTCAGCTGATGCTGTGTGAGCTGGGCCCTGCCCGAGACCTGAGAGCCCAGTGCAACAGTGTGCATTGGGACATAACTCACAAGCACTTGATGGATGATTGGGTAGTTGTGCTGCTTCCAGGGCAGCAGTCCTCCACTGCCAGCTTGTTGCCCACTGAATCAAGTCCAGACCCCTGGGCTGGTGTCAGAAAGCCGTCCATCCTGCAAGTATCATCTCAGATGCTCTTCTGCCCCCATTCCAGCCACTTAGTATCTCCTAGTTCTTCCGCATACCCCAGCGCCCAAAGCCATGCCTTGGTCAGGTGTTTTGGTCCACCTTCCTTGTGAGGTCTTGTCTGCTCTCCAGGTGCTCTGGGCACATCAGCCCTCCTGCCCACAGGATCTCTCCCCACATCTCTACGGCACCATCTTCCTCTGAACAGTAACTTTGGCTGAGGGACTGGAGGTGCTGGTGGTGTTTGTGGTGATCCTGGTGGTCTGCACAGAGGTCACCTCCAAAAGTTGGCTGAATCCATTTCCACGGCTCCTGAGGTCACCTGAACCATCTGAGGGGGATTTAGTTATTATCACTTTCTTTTTGACATTTGAGCAGTTTTGATAAACTCATGAGTTACATTTAAGAAACTAATGCCACTCGTTTTATTATTCTTTCAGATTCTGGATGAAATTGAAGAACATAGCATCAAAATTTATCACTTACCTGATGCAGAGTCAGATGAAGATGAAGATTTTAAAGAACAGACTAGACTTCTCAAGGTGAGAGTGCCGTTTCTGGACCATGACAGGAGCAGCCGCCTTTTCCAGTGTACATGCTCATTAAATAAAGAGTTGTCCCAGCGGCCAATCCTGGGGACAGGTGACCCTTCAAAAGCATTGTTCAGTTAACAGTTCCTGTTCCGCTCCGGTCACATCCATTTCAGTTCGCAGCAGCCCTGCAGGAGAGGGAAGAACTGCCCACCATCCTTGGTGATTAATCTTTACACAAGTAGAGTGCCAGAGCCTTCTGTCTGGGGCATCTCATGGGCTGAAGCCACCATTACCTTAACCACGGTGCCACCTTGGCTCCTCCAGTTACAAGAACATTTTTATTTAAATAAACGACAGATGTGTATTTCTTAACAGCTGTGATGCATTCTGTGAAATAGGATCTTAAATTATTTGGATGCTGTGACTAAAATCCTTTAAGATCCCACTATTGGTTTTTCTTGTTACTGTAGCTGTTGGCAGAGGCCAGAGGAGTAGATTGCGGCTTTGAGGGCAGGACAGGAGTGGAGTAGGGAGCATGCCAGCCCTGAGCCCCTGCCCCCGCAGCTCCTGCCCCTGCCACCTTTGCCCCCACAGCCCCTGCCCCCACAGCCAGGTACCTGGTGAGTGAGGCCTGAACACTGTGTCCTTGGCTTCACCTGCCTGCATGTAACTCTGGTGCTTTAGTTGTCTGCACTTGAGGGCCTTTCAAGTCATTAAGGGGAAATAACAAAAAAAGAGCTATTTTCTCTTTAAAAATAATGTGATGAACGGACATGGTCAGATGTTGTCTGAACAGACGTTAAGCGATGAATACCTGTGTTGGGAAATGATATTGCTGAATTTTATATTGCTGTCATGTGTCCATCTGGCAAATGCAAAATGCTGTGTGTCCTTGTCATTCCAGTTAATCATGGCAGCAGATGGTGACATGCTTAGCATTTGCTAACACTCCGGTTCCCTGATGTGAGGCTTGTCTGCTTGTATCTGTCTATAGGCCAGCATCCCATTTTCAGTGGTTGGATCCAACCAGTTGATTGAAGCCAAAGGCAAGAAGGTTCGAGGCCGACTCTACCCTTGGGGAGTGGTGGAAGTAGAGAACCCAGAGCACAACGACTTCCTGAAGTTGAGGACCATGCTCATGTAAGACATGGGGGCTCGGGCTCACAGGACACCTGGAGTGGGGGGCTTGGGGCTCACCCAAGCCTTGGGATGGAGGGCTCCAGCTCACCTAAGACCTGGGGTCAAGGGCTGGGGGGCCACTCAAGCTCATCTTAAGACCTTAAAGGGCAATGGGGTTTGGGAGGAGGGGTACTTGGGCTAATGTAAGTCACTGGGGTGGGGGATACTCAAGCTCATGTAAGACTCTGAGGTGGAGTACTCCGGCTCATATAAGACCTCAGAGTTGGTGGGCTGGGGCAAGGTCGGTGGGCTAGGGCAGGGTCAGTAGGTTAGGGCAGGGTGTGAAGGTGGTATTCAGCTCAGCAGAAGCTCTTCTCCTGTCTCACTGCCTCTTCCTTATCCTTTGAGTGGCTCTAGCTGCCTAGCCCTACTCTGGCCTCACCTGTGACTGCAGTGTTACTGTCAGACTCACTGGCCTTAGCCTGCCTGGCCTGGAGCTTCATGCCAGACTCCCCCACCCCTGGCCTGTTTGGATACTGAAAGTGCCAGAGCTAAACTGTAACATGGCAGCACCATAGCACACAGATGTCCCAGCTTAGTGAGGAAATTACAGGACATGAAGCTGAATATGGCACATAGCTTCTATGCAGCCAGTGAGCCGCTGTCCTGCTGCATAGCTGTTAGCCTTTGAAGCCTGCTAGTGTCCAGTCCACAGCTGCAGGAAACCTGACTTCAGGTCCAGACCATTGTCTTCTGAAAATCCACTTCACGTTTGTGGCTCGTGAACGAGGAGGCCAAGAGAGTACTTAACATGACAGGAGAGGGTTTTAGTCAGAGTTTTAGATACTAGCTGGTGTAGAGAGATTACTGTTTGAGTTAGTGAGAATTGCTTTGTGTGCTGTTTGTGTCAGTTGGTGTGATTGTTTTAGAAAATTTAAATCCATAAGCTGTTAGCAGTTAGGCTGTCTCAAGAAAAATGAATCTCAGTAAGAGCTGATGGGGCTTCAGACCCTTCAATGCTGGATCCTTGGACAAGGAGTACCGCTGACTATTCCTGAGATGAGCACTGGGTTCAAGGAGGAGTGATTGTCCTCGAGACAAGAGAGGTGACCATTCCTGAGATGAGGGGCTGGCTGGTTCAGATGAGGAACAGGCTCAGAGGTGACCTTATCTGAGACTAGGGGCTGGCTCAGGAGGTGACTGTTCAGAACCCTGAGACATCTCTGTGGTCTTCTCCATCACTTGATACTTATCAGCTCTTAGTGTTCTCAGGGAACAAGTAGTCCTTCAAGTACATGGTTTCCAGTAGTTGCACTGCAAGTGCATTCTGTTTGAGATGTTATGTTCCCTGTACTGCAGAGATTCCAGGGCTCTTGGTACTCTGTGCGGTGGTCCTGGGTAGGCAGGCGGTACCGTGGCCCAGGTCCAACACAGTAGGTTCTTATTCCTGCCCTTGCAGTGTGTTCTTTTTTTTTTTAAGAGTAATTTTTAACACTTTAAATTAGGCAAAGAAAATATATGCAAATGTATTAAAAGAATCATACGCCTTAAAAATGATACATAGCAGTGGTCAAACCTAATGAACTATGGAATGGATTCCAGAATTCAAGGCAAAAAAATCCCTATAGAGAAACATTTCAGGATTCTACCTTCACCGAATCCAGTAAATAAGGCTGCTTTTTTTTTTAATTTAAAATCTTTATTGTTTAATTATCAAAAGTTTTTCTTTCCATAGTAGAATGGCAATGCTGTATCAGTGCATATTCTTTGGAAAAGTCATACCTCAAGTAGCCAGCCTAAAAATCAGAAACAGCACTATGTCAAACTAGTGTATAAGGTAAAACAATGCTGTCAGTACAATCAGTATATGAAAAGAATATGTGGCTGTTAGAAAAAGAGTCTGTGGCCAAGTGAATAAATAGTAGCAGTGCAGTGCACTGACATCATAGAACAGAAAGCGGGAAAGGAACAGAGAACATACTTCCTGCAAAACAATTAAGTCAGTCACAGGCCCAGTGTTCCCAATTGTATCATCAGCTGTCTCACTCATGGGTACCTGAATTTTCCTGCTTCTGTAGCATCACTAGAGTCTAGAACATTAATACAGCAAGCCATTTCAAGCATAATGTGTATATGGTACAGCCACACTCTTAAATCTCATCCTGTCTCCCATTTAACAGCTAAAATAACTACCTGGGTTAGGCAATATAATCTGTGGCTTTAGGCATTGTTAGTAAAAGGCTCAATAAATCTAACATTTGTTCCCATTTTCTTGAGAAATACACTTTTGTAAAACAACAGAAGATAGCTATCATGATTATTCAGTTGTATAAAAGCAAGGAGGATAGAAGGAGAACTGATGCCTTTGAGCTGTGGTGCTGGAGAAGAGTATTGAGAATACCATGGACTGCTAGGAAAAGAAACAGATTTGTCCTGGAAAGGGTTAAACCGGGTGGCTCCTTGGAGGCAAGGATTCTGAGGCTCCATCTAACTTACTTTGGACATGTTGTGAGGAGAGACCGGTCCTTGGAGAGGGACATCATGCTTGGGAGGGTGGAGGGATGGTGCAGGAGAGGAAGGCCCTCTGTGAGGTGGATTGATTCCGTGACTGGGATAATTGGGATGGGAGTGTCGGAGACAGTGTGCTTGGCACAGGACAGAGCGGAGTTTAGGGCTGTTGTACATAGGGTCGCTATGAGTCGCAGGCGACTCGACGGCACATAACAACAACAACAATAACATAAAAGCAAAACAATTTTTTATGTAAGGATAATGAATAAACATACAAAGAAATATTTTTAACAGAATACTGTCAGACTAAGTTGAACATTATCATAATCAGCTCCTGAAAAAAGTACAGGTAAATGTGAGATACACATGATCACTACAGTTTGATCATGCCTGGGTATTGGGAAATTTTTGGTCAGGTTTGTCTCTGAAGCTGTGATACAGCTGGATTTGGCTACTTTGCATTAAGCCACACACCCAAAAAAATGCTTTTTATAACGGAAACTGCTCTATCATGAGGAAATCAAAATCAGAACAGTGAGATATATAGGAAATTTTTCTTAAAATTTTTTTTTCACATGTCGCAGTTTTTATTCCACATGTCAGGTTTTTTTTTCACGTGTCAAAGTTTGTTTTTTCATGTGTCAGAGTTTTTTTCACGTGTCAAAGGTTTTTTTCACTTGCCAAAGTTTTTTTTTTCACGTGTCTTAAATATTCTTATATAGCATATGATATAACCTTAGAAAAACTACAGTTACCATGGTTTAAACTTTAAATTGTTAATGCATGAATAATCTGCAAGACTAACAAGTTTCTTGTTAATCAACACAAGGCCTTGTGGGGAAGGGACACTGAATGTATGGCATAGCAATTATTTTTCAGGTAAGTTAAACACTTTTTATTTTAAGTATTTTTATACTGTATTGGAAACGTTATTATACTTAATATATAAAATGTGTAAAATTAAGTTAAAAGGTAGAATCAGGGGAAGGTTTTCTTGTATATGTGATGCAGACAACTTCTTCTCATCAGTAGTTCCATGTATGTCCGTCCATTTTACCCATGGTAAAACATGAGAGGCTGATAGAAAAGAAAAAATTCCACTTATAAGTAGAAACAGGATTAAAAAAATGGATTTCAGTGGTTTCTTCCCACAATGCAACTCACTAGTGCAACTTTCAACTACAAGAAACATGAAACTATAAATCTCAAAAACTGATTTTCACACTCTTTAACAGTTCTACCAACTGAAAAGAAAAGCACTCCTTTGCAGCAGTTCCATAAAATAATTGTCAATTCACAAAACACCTGCTATTAGTAAAAGCATTAACTCTTTATCGAGGGCATGGGCATTAATAACTTGGCTGCTCTGGGGTATAAATGCAATTATATTTGCACATATATATTTTCTATAAGGTTTGCCAACAATCTCCATGTTTGCATAAAACTGGGAGTGATGTCATCCTGACTGATTGAAAACTTAGTTTTGTAATTTTTTTATAATGGAGGTTAAATAATTTTAAGAGAAAATTTAACCCAATAATACAGCTGACAAAATTCAAATTCCTAACCAATGCAAATAAATTGTTACTACATTTCAGGAACATTTAACATTGCATATTGGTTAAAAACAAACTGAACAAGAAAACATGTATGTACTTAAATTCAGCAGGACACCACAAAAGCATACTATAGTAAGTGTGAAGCCAATCAAGCTTTTCCAAAAGAAAAAAAGCAACCCATAACTTTTTAATCCTTCAGCAGGTCTCTTTGGAAATAGTACACTTACAAAACAAACAAAAAGGGAACACCGATAATACCCCCAAGAGGCTTGCTATACTGTTCAGCATTATTGCCTAAACTCCTCTTTGTATAGATGGTCAACATAAGACAAGAAGTTCATTTTTACAATAGTTCAGCAATTCCTTTTCACCCCTGCTGCGAGCTGAAGTCGTCATTGCTTCCAAAGACCAAGAAAAAGCCTAGTATAGTTGCAAAAATGACCGTGTTTCCTGTGAGAACAAGTGTACAAGTTCCCCAGTTAATCAACTGTGCTCTGGCAAAAACAATAGGAAGTCCAAAAGCTTAGACAACTATGCCTATTGTAAGAAATATGGCAAGTTCCTTACAAGCATTACTTATAGCATCTGTATCATCCACTAATCTTGATATACAGTATGGAATAGGTGAAGGGATGTGAAAAAACAAAGAGGAGCCAGTATTGGTTGCATATTGGAAGGGCACATCCAAGCATCAAAAACATCAGCCCAATTGCTCCTCCAAATGACAAACTAATCAAAGCTTTGATGCCAGCCGTGGTGATGACGTCGCTCCTGGTTCCAGGACCCAAGGAGGTGGTGGTAGTGGCAGCAGTGGCCGCCGGGAGACCGGCGATGCTCAAAGGCTGCTTTTTTATATTCTCTTTTCCTTCTGAGTTCCTCTCCCTTGTTAATGATAGCTGAAGATCGGCACGTGCCACTTCCAGCCTGTACTGACAGTCTAGTCTTCATCCGGGACTCTTGGAAGATCTCCGTCTGCTCCCCCCAATAATCAAAGCTTTATTGAAAAAATTGACACCGAAAGAAATAAGTGCCACACATTTTACCAAAAAATTAAAGGTTACAGTAACTTGGTGGATTAACCAGAATTACTGACTGGCAAGACTTCCTGTGACTGAACAGAAATTCAGAAAGTTGTACAGAGCATTAATTTACTTCCTTTCTGAACATCACTTTTTCTTTGACCAGGTGTCTGGTGACGCTGGTTTTGATTCTGCTCTGCCTCAAGCGAGGATTGGCTAGGATCTCCCGTTGCTGTGTGTTCTTGTGGTAGCAGAGGATGTGCCTCATTTCAGAATTACAGCAGTTTTGTAGCACTTAGCAAGTCTGTCTATGATTTTCATCACGACGTTTCCTCTGCAGGCTTGACTCATTGTCCATGGGGATTGCATGTGGGATCCAGCATGTAGCTCAGTGCCGATGTCCTTTTATCTTTCAGAACTCATATGCAGGATCTCCAGGAGGTGACCCAGGATCTCCACTATGAGAATTTCCGCTCTGAAAGACTCAAGAGAGGCGGCAGGTTATCCTCAATTCTGTGTGGCGTGTCCTCCGAAGTCATATCCTCCTCCTTTGTCCACCCAGCTCAGCCTTCTTATCCTCTGAGAATTGGGTTCTGATTTCCCCTCAAAAGCTATTCCTAGGAACTGCTAAGTAGAAAGCAGATGTAGCTTCCGTAGTCTACACAAAAAGACAGTTGAGAAGGAGAGGCTGGAAACATGGGTGGTGGCCTTCTCAAGAGCATCCCTCTGTCCATAAGTGAGGAGAGATGAGTTTGCTGCTGAGAGCAGGTGTGGTGAAGTGCTCTGAAGCAGCCATCGTTATAGCGAGCGCTTTGTGCCCTCGTTTGCATCAGGCAAAACTCTTACCTCCACTGGAGCTGAGTTAATGCCAATAGTCATAGTCATTGCTTGCAAAGAGCATTTTCTGCCCTAGGTTATCACAGTATTCATGTTTTCATGTTAAAAGTTACTGCACTTTTAATGTGGGAACTTGGCTCTGAAGATTGTATGGTAGCATGGCCAGGACCAATGTCCCTGAGAAAGCGTGACTGCTTGCCTACTCCCCCAGTCACCCTGCTTCCTTCATGGAGACAAGCAGGTCCTGTCCTTCTGAGTTGGGAATGGCCATCGTTCTGTCTGCACAGAAGGCACCAGTCGTGTGTGCAGAACACGGGGCGAGGACCACGGCCATGAGCTACTCGTGGCTGATCTTACGGTGCTTTTCAGAGGGCCTTGCAGTTCCTGCCCTGGGGACACAGACTCAGCACCACCTTAGCATAGGAGAACTTGTGCATTTTTCTTCCCATACTGTGTGTTCTTTTTCACATTCTATTCCCTTCTCACTCATGGCTTATACAAGAGTTTCTTAGGATTGTGAAGTGAAATTTTTCTTTGGGAATCGCCATCTGAAAGAATCAGCTATATTTGTTGCAGTGTTAAATTATCATTTCTTTCAACTTTTAGAAAAGTGGAGAATGAGGACATGAATAAAGACCAGATCTTGCTGGAAAAGGAAGCTGAAGTAAGTTAGAATAGCGTTAGTGTTTTCCCCTCTAAAAAGGTGTCGTTTTTAAGAACGTTGTTTGTGATTAATTTACAAGTTGTTTCTGTGCCTTCATCTATTTAGAAGCCCCATCGTGGGTGTGGCTGCTGTGCTTCATGTTACTGGCGCAGCTGTGCATGGTACAAGAGGTCTGATGTTGGTGGACATTAGAGCTGGCTTGCTGCTGACCAAGAGCCCAGCACTTGGAATCTATCCACTGCTCTGAGGCACATAGGACAGTCAGAGCCCAGAAACCTGATCATGTTGGAATTGATTGGAAGGCAGTGGGGTATTTGTTGGCTTGCTCAGTAATCAAACACATAATACACACAGTGCTTTATGTACATTGTTCCGTTTATTGATGACAGTGAGAACTTAGTAACATAGCTGATGTGTGTAAATTCAAAAGGCAGTTACTTACCTGCACTGACTGTTAGAGAATATTAACTATTTAAGAAGCAACACTGTTGAGCTCCTGGGGGGAAGAAACTTGAAACCTGTTGATGAACATAATAGTAGATTTCAAGAAATAAAAGCTTTCAGATAAGAAGACTCAGTTTAAATATCACAGTTTTCTAAATTAAATGTATTGTAACCCAAACACTGCTGGCAGAGTTGTATGTATGTTCTGTCCCATTTCTTTCTTTTAGAGGAGTTGTTATATGCCGCCAAGTTGCTTGCAACTCATAGCAATACTATGTACAACAGCCCTGAACCCTGCTCTGTTCTGTGCCAACCTTATTGTCTCTGACACACCTACCCCAACCATCCTAGTCAATGAATCAATTCATCTTATTGAAGGTCTTCGTCTCTTGCATTGTCCCTCTACCTTCCCAAGCATGATGTCCCTCTTCAAGGACTGGTCCCTCCTTGCAGCATGCCCACCGTATGTCAGACCAAGCTTCACAGTTGTGCTTGGGAGGGTGGAGAGACAGCACAGGAGAGGAAGACTGATTGATTGAGAAGATGGATTGATTGAGTTGACTAAATTAATGGGAATAGATGTGTCAGAGACAGTAAGGTTGGCACAGGATAGAGTAGGGTTCAGCGCTGTTGTACATGGGATCACTAAGTCAGAAGTGACTCGATGTCACATAACAACAACCATCTACCACCAACTGCCCTTGGCTTATTTGTGAAAGTTTGCCGTGTTTTGGAAAGGCTTAGAGGTTAAAATTTTAGGATTGTAAAGAAGACCAGTAACATATCACATTAAAAGGACAAACTGAACGTGTGCCCCAATTCCCTGTCTCCACAGCTTCGTCGCATGCAAGAGATGATTGCTCGGATGCAGGCACAGATGCAGATGCAGATGCAGTCTGGGGATGGTGACAGCAATGCACATGGGCATCACGTGTGAGGTGAGGGGGGGATATGACTTATGAGATGAAAGGGTACCATGTGTGAGGTGAGGGGGGCATGACTTGTGAGGTTAGATGAGGTGGGGGCACATCACCTGTGAGTAGGGGAGTGTCATTGGTGAGGTGAGGTGAAAGGGCACCACATGTAAGTTAGAGGGGACATAAGTGAGGTGAGATGAGTTAAGAGGGCAGCTGCTCCTCTGCCCACCCACTGAGGTTATCTCCGAGCTCTGTCTTTGAACATACTGCTCCCGCTAAGAATAGGACCCTCTGTGACCAGCTACTGCTGCAGTCTCCGGACGGAGACAGGGTCAAAATGAGGGTTGTTCTCACTCAAAGGAAGAAGGGGACATTTGGTGATTTTTTTTTTAAATTTTATTATTTTTTGTGTGTGTACCAGCAAATCAGATCTGACTAGTATAGAGGAGGAGATTGCACCTCCTTTTCCAGCAGAGCATCTGGTGGATTCGAACTGTGTATCTCTGGGATTACAGTACAGCTTCTTGCTATTAGGTCACCAGAGCTCCCTGGAGATATTTTTTGAGGCCAGCTTTGATAAATTTTTTTCTTTAATTTGAATATTTTTCACATTCTGTAAGCTTACATATCAGATTAAGAAGAGAAAGAAAATTGTTAGTCATAGGAAATTTATGAAAGTTGCAAACCTCTTTTTTGAAGAACAGTGACAAGTTAGTAGCTGATGCAGGTGAAAAAGGAAGGTTAAAAGGGGAGATGGTGCGGTGTCAGTCGGACTGTTTGGACCATTTCCCACCTTTCAGTTTGCCTCAGTGCCCCAGTCTACCCCATGCCACCACTGGTCATCAGTCAGTTAACAGAAATCAGATCTAGCGTGTACTGCTGGGGACTAGAGAGGGCAGGTGTGCACCCCTGTGCACTCTGGCCATCTCCCCAGAAGAAGGCGCAAGGTCAGTTCAAGGTCTGAAAGGGGAGAGCATTTGTAGGTGCTGGGGGGACACAGCCTTCACAGCGTATCAGCTTGCAAATCCAGGACAACCGAGGCAAGTCTCCATGTGAGACCTCATACTGGAGGCATGACGGGAGGTATTGAGTGATGGCAGGAAGTTCTGCCCACACCTGCTGGTAGAATGGGCTCTGTAGGGAGCCAGGTGATTGGAGGCAGCAGCTCCTAACACCAAGGCCTTCCCTGCACCATTCCCCATTTAATACCATGTACACATAGAAAAATACATGCGTACAGTTCAGCAGGTTCTGTTATCTGGGTGCACATTACTTCCTTCAAATCTTGGAGCTATCCTGATGGAGTTATGCCACTTCCACACTTGACTCCTGACAAGGAAACAGTCTGCTGCTAAGAGTGATCTGCCTGGGGTGTAGAACTATCTCAGAGACAGCTGAGCTTGGGCCGGGTGCCCTGTCTCAGCCTACCCTGCCTGTACTGGGCGATGGGAGACTACTCAGGGTAGCTGTGTGAGGTGAGAATGGGCAAGTATTGCTCATTTCCTCAGATCTTGCTGCTTCTCTTTCTGAAATTTTCAATTAGTGAACTATGATAATTTTAGGTACATTAAATTGTTTTCTTCCTGTATTTTTGAGCAGTGTTGGTAACTTCTGAGAGGCAGAGTCTGTACGCCCAGTCTGCTCAGTGTGTGCTCTGTCACTTTCACATAAATGTGCTACCTCTATCGTTGCCCCAGAGAACACTTTCTGTGTGGAAGAGGAGACATTCTGGACGAGCGCAGTGTGGTTCTCCAGGCCATCGGGGAGCGTGCACCACTCGATACAGCAGCAGCGCCCGAGAATGCAGTTTCTTTTTCAACTTTTCGTGTTTCCTTTTTTTTTTTCCCTTTGGTATACAGTAATTTTAACATTTATATTTCATTGATATGTTAATGTTCTTTTATGAAGTGACATTTTCCTTTTTTGTCCTCCTTCCCTAATCCCCGAGCTAGAACTGCTCTCTAGGTCCACATGTAGTCAGGTCAGCCATTGGTTTCTCTGGTTGTAGCTGGCCTGACCAACGGATCAAGCCTGCCCCATTGACATCTAGAAATGGTCAGGTTGGCCTAGAACAGTCCTGGTGGCAGACACACCAGCGTAACTCCCAGGGGAGGACTACAGCTCCCTTACTCTTGGGTTTTGTGCACATCACCTGAAGCCAGTTTTGCTGCCACAGTTCAAGGCTCGGTTCATCCACACAGATGCACCTGTTTACCAATAACATGCAACAGGGTTATCTAATAGGATATGGTGACAATTGAGTGGCTTTTGAACAGAAGGGCTTTAAGGGGTGGATTCTTGCACTGGGTGGCTCAGAGCTGCCATTGCAGAGTGGGTGTCAGTGGCCCTTCAGAGGAGCCTTCCTCTGGGCTGGTCGCAGTGGACAAGCCCACTATCGCCATGAACTCAGCTTCCTCTATGCAACTCACTGAAGATAACTGTTGAAGTTAACATTCTGACCTGTTGTAAAACCAGCCTTTTTTGTACTTTTGTACTGCACTTTACTGTTTTTCTGTAATTAATGTGGAAGGTCCTCTTTACTGTAAGCCCAGAACTGTCACCAGCACTGAGGCCCAAGTGCCTGCCAGATAGATGTTCCTAGTCTGAGCTGAGTGGTTTCCCAAAGGGAGGCTGTCTCATCCACCTTTAACCCTTAACATTCCCTTCATTTTATGAAATCCACATCTCTGTGTGTTCTGAAAATGACTTTTTCTATCTGTGCTGGCTGGCTTTGTCCTGTATGCTGAGGCCCAGTGTGTCCTCTGTGGGGCTCCACAGGGTTGTTTTCACCCTCCTTGATGCTGAGAAATGTCTTCCCAGAAACTACCACTTAGAAGTAGGCTGACTTTTCTCCAGGGCCAAGATGGCAGAGGTCTGGTTCAGTATTTTCCTCTTCCTTCACTTGATGGAGTCAAGAAGACAATTTGCCTGAGGACAGGGACAGAGCTGTCTTGTTTTGGCCAGACTAAAACTGATGGCGGCCAGTCATGAAGGTATACTAAAAAAAACTAACCCAAGGCTTTGGGGACTCTGGTTACTTTGCTGTGGAAAAACGCCAACTGTTTTCCCCAGAAAATGTCCCATGACTGACTTCATTGGGCCATTTTGGCATTTAATAGCTAAATGACTATGCTAAAGAAACTATTGTTCTTAGGGTTGCTTATGGGTCATACTTGATGGTACCTAAAAGCAGCAACAACAGAGTAAAAGGGTGAGAGGAAGAAAAACTTTTGCAAATGGTCAGTATAAACCTTGTGTGTTTAGGACAAAATACATGGGGCAAACTGTCACCATAGTGGCTGAGAGGACCTACATCCACCCTGGCTGCCCAAAGCTAGACTTCGCCTGGCACATAACCACTATTGCTAAAAGGTTCTGTACCTATAGAAACCTATTTTGAAAACACTTATTTTACACAGCAATTTTATATTCATTAAAATTAACCTTTTATCAATAAAGCACTATTGTTTAGATATTAAACTCCAGGTTCTGACGATTTGTTCTTTAAAAGGAAAAGGTCCAGAGCACTGAAAAAACTGGGGTACAATCACAATTGTTTGCATGGAGAAGTCAGTACTATGGCTAGGTCTGGATAATTTACAGGTGAAGCATCTCCAAGTGATGTGATTCACATTGGCTGTCTTGGGCTTAGTGTTCACAAACTACAGTGAAGGGCTCAACACCTGGAAATGAGGGTGTCTGAGATGTGTAGAAGAGCTACAACTTTTTTCACAGAAAAACTCAGCTCAAAAGTTGAGTCTGTACAATTCAAAACAATGAAAATATCCTGGCGTGTGAGTCTGCTAGAAACCGGTTGAATCCCCAAGACTGTGCCCCGTGGTCACCCTTTGAGCCTGAAACTGAGTTTATACTTAACTCATCCCTGTTGTTCAACTTTCAACCAGACAATAGGTAGGTCCATAACGTGAAATAAACACCAGGCCAGTACTCACTCCTCAAAGCCATCAACCATGCAAGATCAACACAATGTTTGCCCAGAGATAAAACTCAGAATACAAGCAGGGAAGGGCTAGAAGGATTGATAGAAGAATCGAAGGGAGGAAGTAAGACATGTGTTGTTATAATGTGGGGAGGAGAATTACTGTCACAAAGCAAAATATATGTGAACATTCAAATGGAAAATCAATTCGCACTGTAAACTTTCACTCAGATCATAATAAATGTTTTAAAATAAAGCCAGTGAATATATAGCGATGTGACAATACATGAATAAAGTATTTTACAGAAATCCATTAAAAAAAAAGTTGAGTCAAACCATGTTTCTGTAAATTGTAGAAGGGGCTGTCTGTCTCAAATGGGCCGCTGCAGAGTCAGCAACAGAATTCTCTGTGGATGACACTACCAGAGCTCCCTACAACTTTAGTGGCCATTTTTAAACCTGCTTGGCCCCGCTAAACTCCTGGAGAGATCTGTAGCAGAGTTCAGGGTAGGAAATCGTCCCGCTATTTGTACTCCTTACCTAATCTCTTCCTTGGGATACCTCCTCATGGCTGTTGGATACTCTGGGCAGGGTTGGGGGAGCGAAGGTTTGGCCACTCCCGGGAACGAGATGTCCAGTATCAGATGGCGTCCTCGCCCCAGTCCATTCTAACTCGCTTTGAACATGGCCTGGGAGGCTAGGAGAGAGCTGGTGGCCAGCGTTTGGAGGCAGAGTCCTCGCGCCAAGAATGGAACCTCGGACCATGCCCCTGCCCAGCAAGTTCGCCTCGCAGCATTCTGCGAGGGAAGTCCAGAACGCGTTTGGCCTGAGATCCCAGGACCCAGCTCCAGAGGACTCACGCTCCTTATCAGTGTGGGGCTTCAAACTCAGCTGGGTCACGTGTTACGTTAGGCCTCGCTCTGGGAGCTGACCCCTACCTCCAGCCCAGGGTGCGTCCGGCCTCCACCCTCTCTCGCTCCGCCCCGTCCTCTGTCCTTCGAATCAGATGTCAGCGGCTCGCATTCAGGCCCCTTCCCCCACCGTCCCCGCCCCACGCCGGTCCCGCCTGGCGATCTCGGG